CTTCTGGGACCAAATTGCTTTGTCCCTCTTCCTTCCATAGTTGTCCCTCTTTTAGTTTAGTAGCTAGACTTGTATTAAAACAAAAAAAAATGAGAGGAACATTTTCTTAAAGGGAGGGGGAACGCCTATCCTATTACCAGAAAAAGGGGGTATTTTTGTAAGGTTGTATGAGACATAACAAAAAAATCCTTATTAAATACACAAAATGCAAAAATATGAAGAATGTGAATACTTTAAGATTTTTTTCAGATTCTGTGTATTTAATAAAGGTTTTTGTTATATGTTCCACACAACTTTCTCCAAAGACCCCCTTTTTTTGCAGCCTGTGGTAATATATATTTATGGGTCTGGACTAAGGATTGTGTGCTACAGTAACAGTGATTATTTGAGGTTGGGTATGGCACGAATAGATACTCAATGTTGAACTCCAATCTTAAGCTGACCATACACTAGTAGATTTCTGAGCGAATGTTCATAAGAAAGATCTTTCTTTACCACCCGATAATGCCCTCAAACACTTTGACGAATGTCGATCGAAATTTCATTTGATTTTAACATTTGATGTGGGAATGAATGGAGTTTCTTGAATGAAAACCACTTTCACTGTTAGAACTTCGTTTGTCAAGAAAAAGTTTGCATCCTCCTCCTTCCACTTTTTTTGTCACTACAGTCGAAATTGATCATTAATTTAACCCCATCAATTAATAGAAAGTCGAATGAAAGATCTTTTGTACGAAAGTTCTTTCAAAATCTAACCATCCAAGACAATAAAAGAAAACAGCCAAATAGGCTCTATGATTTATTGCATATAGGTAACCCATCATGAAGAAAACTAATTTAGAAAACCATTTCTTTAGGTACACATACATAATTACTAAAGATCAACAAGTATCCATTAGCATCACTAGAGCACAACAAACAAGTCTTGCTTAATCTTGTTTTTTCCACCCCTTGCTCACAAAGGATGGAGATGAGAATGAGGTAAGAGCCTTTAACTTGGTGCTGAACAAAAACTTGCATGTTTTACTTGTAATGCGTAGTAAGCTCCTGTTGTATTCATTATGGAAATCACTGCTGGTATTCTTCTGAATTGGTAATACCTATGGTTCACAATCAGTAGTATCCTTGTGAAAAATCCATCATTCTTACTCGTGGTTACAGTTTAGAATCCTGGAACTCTTTGCGTATGCAAATATATATTTCTTGTTCCTGTATCATAAAAATTCTTTCAGGATTTGTGTTTTCTGAGTTCTATTCAATTTTCTTCTTCTCAACATCGATGTAAATCTTGTTCTTTGAGAATGGCTGTTTTTGTGACTATCAACTGTGCAAACTTTCTGCTTTGCCTTATTTTGTCAGATGACTTACTAAGATAATCATCATCTTTTTTATCTTTAAATACTCTGTGTGCATG